GAAGGTGTTGAGATGTACTCGACAGAAAATGAAGAAAAATCATCTGTCTGTGAGAGGTGGAATCGAACGATCAAAACTGAGATGTGGAAGCAGTTTACCATTCAAAACAACACACAGTATCTCGACATTTTGCCACGCATTGTTCAAAAGTACAACAATCGAAAACATAGATCAATCGTATGACACCGGCAGAGGCATCCAAGAAAAAAAATGAGAATGCTGTCTTTCTGAAACTTTACGGTGATGATTTGAGTAGACTGCAAGAGAGACCAAAGTTTGCAGTTGGTGATCATGTTAGAATCTCTAAATTCAAACGAAAAGTGTTTGAGAAAGGATTTACCCCGAATTGGACAGAAGAGATTTTTGTTGTTGACGAGGTACAATATTCCAACCCGATCACTTACAAGTTAAAAGATCTACTCGGAGAAGAGATCAAAGGTTCTTTTTACGAACAAGAGATGTTGAGAGCAAAACAAGTTGTTTTCCGCATTGAGAAGGTTATTCGAAAGAGTAAAGGAAAGGCTCTCGTGAAGTGGAGTGGTTATCCAGAAAAATTCAACTCATGGATTGATGAGAGTGAGCTTCAAAAAATATAAAATATATTTTAAAAAAATTGAATAAAAAATCTTAAAAAAAATGTTTAACATAAATAAGATGGATGAGCTTGAGTTTTTTTCAAAGCGTGCACTCATGAGAAAGGCAGAGGAGATGGGATTGCAACGATGTTATTTACTCAACAAACAAGAGTTGATAAAGATTATCAAAAATCCACCTGTGTTAGATGAGCTTGAAACTCTATCAAAAAAAGAACTCTTCAACAGAGCAAAAGAGTCTAGATTACATGGTTATTCTACAATGAAAAAACGAGAGTTGATTGAACTGATCAAAAATCCACAACCTCCTCGCATAAGACACATTGGTGTGAGAAAAAAAGTAACACTTCAACCTGTAGATTCATCAGATTCATCTGTAGATGAACTCGTTTTTCCCTCAATCAGTGCTGCTGCAAAACATTTCAATGTGAACCCTTCAGTGTTTGCATGAAAGTTGAATGCACTCAAAGAGAGTACAAGAAACTTTGTCACACCTGATGGAAAAAAATTTGCTCTCCATTTCGAAGATTACCGTTTAAAAGAGCAAAGATATTTTTTTCATCACTTGAAACTAGTGATGAAAAAAAACTTAAAAAAAACTTAAAAAAAGTTTTAATAATATTAAATATGCAGAAAATGGAAAAACATACTGTTGTACAACTTCGTCAGATTGCAAAGGAGAATGGTCTTCGTGGTTATTCAAAACTTCGAAAAGCAGAACTTATCAATTTTATAAATCAATCACTTAATAAAAAAGTGGTTTCAGAGAGACATAATTTACTCGATGATCCGATTCCTGAAAATGAAATTCCGGAGGAACAAGATATATTAAAACCTTCAAAACCAGTATTGGTAAAAAAGATAGATAAGGTTGTTGATTGGGGAAAGAGCAAGGTAGAAGATTGGGGTCAGTGGTTGAAAGAACAGGTTGATACACCGAGAGTTGTGGTTGATGACAAGTTGAAAGATTTCAAAACACATATTGCTAATCTTTACGAGAAAAGAGATCAGTACCGTTTCAAACTTGTTGAGAAAAAGTCTTCATTGAAACAGTTTGCAAAGATGTACACCATTGATGGGGTGGGAGGTTTTGAACCGATGGGTTTTCTTCAGGCTGTAAAACCAACCGTAATCAAATTTCTGTTAACGCAAAAGAATATCAGGGTAGAGCTAGTTTTGAAGTGTAATATGTCAAAGACAAATATTATGACGGGTGAGACTGTGCTAGAGCTTGTATATTTTAATTCTTCCACAAAGAATGTCTTTCAAGAGACTGATCGAGAAGAACTTTATCAAGAATGTGTTGACAAAATGATGGAGAGTTTGGCTGCGTTTACAAGAAATGGAAGTGGTTGGGTTGTGCATTCGGTTGAGGGTTTAGATTTGCATACAGTGAAATACACTCCTTTGAAAGGCTCTTCATACATTAAACTACCAAACTTTCTCGCAGATAAGAAGGCTATCATAAACATGAAAAATAAAGATAATGAATGTTTTAAATGGTGTGTTACAAGAGCGTTAAATCCTGTAAAAAAAGACCAAGAGCGTATCTCAAAGACATTGAGAGAGCAGGCAAAAAAGCTTGTGTGGGATGGGATAAAGTTTCCGATGGAGGTGAAAAAAATTTACCGCTTTGAAACGTTGAATCCTGGTATTGCTGTCAACGTCTACATGTATGACGGTGGACTCAACCCCTTGAGAGTGAGTAAGGTCGAGAGTAGCAAGATCCATATTGATCTTCTTCTCATTACTAGTGAGAAAAGTGAGAAAAAGCATTATTGTCTCATCAAATCTTTAAGTCGACTCATATCGAGTGATCTATCGAAAAAACAACATAAGATGTTTATCTGTAAGAGATGTCTCAATTTTTTCGGTTCTCAAAAACTTCTTGATATACACAGTGAACTTTGTCGAGATCATGAGGCTGTGAGAGAGAAGATGCCACCTTCGAAAACTTTTCTCTCTTTCCAAAACCACTATAAGAAGAAGGACATGCCATTTGTCATCTATGCTGACTTTGAGTCGATAATCAAACCTTTACATTCTGTTCAACCAAATCCTAAAGAGTGTTATACTGAGAAAAAGCAAAAACATATCCCGGTGAGTTTTTGCTACTTTGTTAAATGCTCTTTCGATGATAGATATTCGAAACTGGTTGAGTATACAGCAAAGTCTGAAGATGAAGATGTTGCACAGATATTTGTTAACATGCTTGAAGAAGAGGTTAAGGCAATTTACAAAAACCACCCCAAAAAAGAGATGATCTTTGAAGGCAGTGATGCTAAAATCTTTGAAAATGCAATGTGTTGTTGGTTGTGTGGAGAAGATTTCAAGATAGATGATGTAAAGGTTCGTGATCATTGTCATTACACCGGTAAATTTAGAGGGGCTGCACATAACAGTTGCAACCTAAGATTCCAACGACCAAAATTCACTCCTGTCGTCTTTCACAATTTGACAAACTATGACGCACATCTCTTTGTTAAAAATCTGGTGTTTTAGAAGGTGAGATTGATTGTATCCCCAACAACGAAGAAAAATATATCAGCTTTACAAAACACATTGAAGTTGACAAGTTTTTCAACAAAAAGAAAAAAGAAGACGTTGTTGTCAAGAGAGAGTTGAGGTTCATTGACAGTTTTAAATTCATGGCTTCCAGTCTTGACAAGCTCGTTAACAACCTCACCAAAAAGGGTGACTCTTTAGTGAATACAGGAAGATATTTTGATGGAAAAAAGCTTGATCTGTTGAAGAGAAAAGGTGTCTATCCTTACGAGTGGTTGAATTCTATCGATAGACTTGATGAGACTGAACTTCCTCCGATTGAATCTTTCTTCTCTGTTCTCAGTGGTAGGGGTATAGAGAAAGCAGAATATAATCATGCAAAAGAGGTGTGGAAAACATTTGAGATGAAAACGATGCGAGATTATCACAATCTCTACAATAAAAGTGATGTTCTCTTGCTGTGTGATGTTTTTGAAAACTTTCGAAAGGTTTGCAAAGAAAACTATGACCTCGACCCCTGTTGGTACTACACTGCACCAGGTTTTGCTTGGGATGCATGTCTCAAGATGACTGAGATAGAGCTTGAGTTGTTGAGTGATCCAAATATGTTACACATGTTTGAGTAAGGAGTTCGTGGTGGGATTTCTATGATCACGACAAGACATTCTCAAGCTAACAACAGATACATGAGCGAAAAGTTTGACAC